CTAATTAATACTAATTCATTGTGGTCATCTAGATTGATTATGTCAAAGTGCAAAAATACGCGATAAAAATTTTTGCATAATTATAATGAAAATATTTTTCCATAAAATAACATTTGTAATCAATAGAACAGATTTGTAAAATATATCAATAATTTCCTTTAGTAATCAATAAATAAATAAATATCTAGAAGTGAATTGCCTTAAAAACAAAGCTAGAATTTAATTCTTGATTTATGGATTATTGTAGCAAAAGGGGAGTTTTCGATATATTTTACGAATTTGTTTTTTTTTTTACTGGAAACTATTTTATTGAAAAATATTTCTATCTTAATATGTTTCGCAAAAATATTTATCATGTGTTTTCTCACTTCTGATATCTCAAATGAAGATGATTGCAGTGAATCAATCTTAAGTATGTGTTTATGTCGAATGGTCATTTATAGCTATTTTGCTTACTGAAGCCTTCAATATCTTCATTACTACTATTTTTCTTGAGTTCTACCAGAATATCGATGAGATCGTTTCTTTTTGTGTCAGATTCCATGCGCTTAGTGATCGTCTCCCAAAAGATTTTGCGCAGAAAGATTGTGGTTTCTTTACCGAACAATTTAAAACGAGTCCTACGAACTACATTTGGAAGGAAGAATAGCGCGAGTATTTCCCAGCTACGGATATAACTATTATTAAAAATCATTCTGCCGTATTTATAGAAATTCGGATCCTTGAACGGGTTAGTGTCAAGCCCATAAGCAGTGCTATTGATCACATTCATGGTTAATTTGGCACTTAAATCCTTCACGTCTATTACCTTACCTTCACCTGTCGATAATATTATCACTCGATTAGATATGCTTAGGTATAAATATATTAATTTTTATCGCATATATCATACTGATTTTTCACATTTTTATGTTGTAAAGCATAGTGATTGCCTTTATGCCGTAATGTTAAAATATAATGCTAATAATTGTAGCTGTAATCATTGTTTTTTATTTCAAAACATTTTTCTTTATATTTCAACATTTCGTATTTTCATGACTCGTCTGATATTCTCCAACTTACCTTTCAATTTCAGTGAGTCGAGATAATCTTCCAAATTCTTCGTGCATTCTAGCATTAAGCCAAACATTTTCTTCAATTTTCCGGATGTAAAGAATGGCGTCAATTTCATTCTTATAATTTTCCAAGCTGGATTTTTTATGGAGAAGAGAGTGGCGTAACCGATACGATCACTCGGATCGGCTGAGGCATATCGATCAAAGAAAGTATTAAAATCTTTCATCAAGATATTTTTGATGAGTTCATGATCGCGAAGTAGCAAGAAAGGTTTGTCGAAAATATAGAAACCTATATAAGGATGTCCCTTCGCTTGGTCATAAATGTTCTTCAGAAAATATCCCGGAGATTTCTTTAAAATTAAACATTCCGTGAAGTTGCCCATAAAAGGTATCGGGGTTATTTCTAAAACGCCTCGCTTTTGCCAATATTTAAAATTGCGAGTCATATAAAAGTAGACAATTATTATGAGGATTATTAAAGTTATTATGCCATCCAGACTCCAGTGGTTCGTTATAAGCGCCATTTTGCGTTTTCTGCAAAAATATTTTTTAAAAAACAACGAATGTTGTACTTTAATTACACCCCCCCCACACACACAAAATATACATATACATACATATGTATGTACGATACATATATATATATATATATATATATATATGCTACGTTTAATCG